CCCTGATTATGCGGTGGTATTTCAGTATTGAATAGTTGATAATGTGACCCTGACCAGCAGCCTTGAGGTCTTGAGCTAAGTTATTCAATTTATCTTTAAGTTTGTGATGGTGGGTATTTTCCAGTTCATCGAGCAATTTCAGCTGCGATTGGTCCTTGGAATATGCTTTTCGCACAACCGGTAAATAGCGTAGTGCAACGCTCATAAACGCAAATATTTTTCCATTCACACCCTGATGTTCTGCTATTTCCTGAAAAATTAGCAAGCACAAGATTAATTAATTAATTTTAAGTCGATCATACTTATGAGTACGGACGTACTTATTTCCACATGATCATATATTATTCATAATTAATTGGAATCGAATATATTACCTTAACTTGCTTCACTATTTCTGCTGTAACATTTTCTGCTATTTCTTGAACATATTGCTCATCTTTTATATTCTGAAGATTGGAAAGATAATCGTATGTCCCTATTGAAAATAAATAGAGAGTTTGATGTCGCTCATCTACGAATTTCGCTCCGTTATCAACAAATAACTTTGCCGAGTTATTGATGAAAATCTGTATTTGATCCTTCAGTGATTTCGACTGCAAGGCAGAATTAATGCACTTAATTAGAAAATGAGTCAAACCAAAATAATAAAGTATTATCTAAATTAAAAAAAAATGACTCACACATTTTTCACTGTAATATATTTAGTCAATTTAATTATTAAAATATAATATATAAAAATATAATTGATATATAGTCAATTTTTTCATATCATATGTATCTTTAAATATGTTTTACTTTACTTTTAAATCAACAAATAATTATTTTTTATAAATGTATTATGAAATATATTAAATGAGTATTTTTATTACTGTTTAAATTAAAATCTTTTAAATGAAGGAGAGAGAAAGACCAAATTAAAATCATTTAAATGAAGGAGAGAGAAAGAGAGCTTAATTATTGTGCCTTAATAATTTCAGAGCTGCTGCCGCCCTGTTCTACAAACAATATTATTGTCAATCGTGTTGATGGCAGAATTATTTAGAAACTTAATTAGCTTGCTTGCCTGCTTATATACCTTATTTGCGCTTAGCGTGACACCTGCTCCGGCCATGGCGAAGCTCAAACTTGCACGTCCTTGTAATGTTTGACGGATATCTGAGCTACTCTTGTATGCAGCAATTTTGCCCTCATTATCGGCCAGGCCTAAGTATTTGGCTGAAACCAGTGAAGTAAACATGGTTAATTGGTTACAAAAAGTTGGCAAATTATAGACAAGTTTTTGAAGAATAAGTTCACGGATTTTCCTTTGATATATCGGGCATTGTTAATTAATTAGTTTTAAAAAAATATTAATTAAAATATGATGATTTTGGAGATTATATTCTCTAAAACGATGTCTTACAAAACACTATATAAGGATCTTACCAATATAATCAGGTACTACAAGACCATCCGAGAATCTTCCAGTGGGAACCGGGGGGTAAAGTGATTTCCCATATGGTTGGTCTTTAGATGGAAGACAAAGTTCATCAATGCCGTAGCCAACATCAAAGAATGAGTCGCCGAAGACAATCAAGAGGGTGGACTTTTTAGATTCCGCGCAGATTCCTCCGTTAACTGCAGGAATTCCTCCGTTAACTGCAGGAATGAAAAGGTTTGCGGTGGCACACAGAGTTAAGAAAAGGAGAGGAAGGGAATAGCCTAGCATTACTCCCATGACTGAGCTCTAATTCAAAGCTTCACTTCACACTAAATTTTGTGGTTTGGACGTACTTCTCCTAACCGCCTTTTATAATGCTCAGTTGCTCACAGATGCCCTTTTATCACCTTTGTTAACATATGTGATCTATTACTCCACTGCTTCAGATAGTAATGCTTAGAAGGCAGCGTGAACGGCGAAGTTGGTGTGTACCTATTTCATTAACAAAACTTAGTATGTCAATGAATACTACAATTTCAACTTTATTAAGTCGAGTTTTTATTTTTTTTTTTCAAAAAAAAAATATAAATGTAATTATGAGTTTAACTGATTATACCTATTTATAGCTAATTAGAGTATTTAAAAATGTTAACTTATGCACTAATTTCAATATATGAAATAATGAATATTAATTATTAGTCAAGTTTGTCTAACATGGATTTTTAAAATTGAGATTAAACTTTATTAATTTGGTTTTTTTTTTTTTGAACAATATTACATAGGACGGGGTTGAACCCTGCCCAGGGAGTGGGGGAATGCATCAAGTGGTTGGAGACCACTTAGCCCAAAGGGCTGGATGCTATTAATTTGGTATTTGTAAATTAATTTTATACAAAATTTTATATTAAACTCTTTTTCTCTTTAATAAATTTTGAGTATAAATAATATATTATATTTTATATTTTATATTTTTTATTTTAATTAAATCTTCTCACAAACAAGCATACTACATGCGAAGCAATTTGCATATCAACTTGTTTGTTACTTTTGTTATGAGGAAATGTTAGCTCATCGCTTGACCACACGTCTGTAGATGCTGTACATTCAAATGGCAAACAACGAGATTTAGGTGGAAAAAAAATGACTCCTCCCAAACGCAATAATTGAATCAATTCAAACCATCAAACTTAACTGATGATCACGTTTTAAGATTCCGTGGGTCCCTGTGTTCGCCTACGTTTGAAAAGTTCCCATTTTTCATTTCACAAGGTACACTTCTTGCTTATGAGAATAAGAGCCTGATAAGAAATCCTGACAGGGTGGACGTACTGGAGGCATCGTGGTTATCCGGGGATCCACTGAAGGACGCGGGGGGTGGGTGGGTAGAATTAAAGTTTTTATGTAAAATTAATTATAAATATCATAATTAATAAAACTTAATTTATACCTTTAAAATTTAAATTAAATTTTTTTTGATTATTTCATTTATCAATTAATATCTATAATCATAAAATATTCTTAACAATTAAATGAAACACATTTATAATATGAATTTTTTTAATATGTATCTTTAATATAGATTAAA